AGAGAATCTTTCGAACCGTTTCTATCCAATATGAAGTATTTCTCTTTGCGAGCAAGAACTTTGAAAGGGCCCTCATACGGTGGTGTCAAGGGTTTACGCACCGCATCGACGCGCACAAAAACGAAAGGGCAGGTATGCAAATCAGAGTGCACTTGCTGGTTTCGAGGGCTGAATCTGGGCGGTGTTGGCCGGACTGAAGAAAAATGTTGTCGCAATCGTACCACATAGGAAGTTGGGTCTAGTTCACCAGTGATTCTGGAATCTAACACCATCTCACCGGGAAGCCTGAGAGTTGTGCCGAAAACCAGTTCAGCGGGGCAACAACCTAGGTCTTCTTTGATCGTGTTGCGAATGCCGAGAAGGATAATTGGTAGCTGTTCGGACCAGTGCGTACTCGATTGGGATGCGGTAATTGCGGCTTTCAGTTGACGATGAAAACGTTCAACAAGACCGTTAGCGGCTGGATGGTAGGCGGTCGTTCGCAGATGACAACAGCCGAGTAAACGATTGAGGTCTCGAAAGAGAGCGGAATTGAACTGAGGACCTCTGTCTGTTGTGATCGTGGCTGGGGTGCCAAACACAGATATCCAGGTTTCAACGAAGGTCCGCGAAACAGTTTCGGTGGAAATATCTCGTAAAGGTACTGCATGAGGCCATCGTGTGAAACGGTCGACACAGGTCAGTAAGTACTGGAAACCGTTGGATGGAGGAAGTGGTCCAACGAGATCAAGGTGCACATGTTTAAATCTAGCGTCGGGTAACGCAAATGTGCCAGGTACGGTGATCGTGTGCCGATGTATCTTGCTAGTCTGACAAGTGACACAATGCTTTGCCCATTTTTGGATGTCGGAACGCATATTGTGCCATATGTAGCGGTCAGTGATTAACTTGACCGTGGCTCGAATGCCAGGGTGGGAAAGGCCATGCAGATGATCAAAAACAAGTTTGCGGAACTGTTGTGGAACAAAAGGTCTGGGCTTTCCGGTCGACAGATCACAATAGACTTTGGAATCGGAATTAACAATAGGCAGTTGAGAGAATTTCAAGGAAGCGTTTGTCTTCAAGTCCGCGAACTCAGGGTCGTCTTCTTGGTGAGCCGCAATATCCTCGAGGTTAATAGTTTGGCGTGAGAAATGATGCAGATCGATACGAGACATAGCGTCAGCAACAGCGTTGTTAGTGGCATCAACATGACGAATGTCTGTCGTGAATTGTGATATGTAGTCTAGATGACGGGTCTCACGAGGTGAAAATCGATCAGAGGAACCGCGGAAGGCAAAAGCTAGCGGTTTGTGATCCGTTAGGATAGTGAAGGTACGTCCTTCAAGTAGATGTCGGAAGTGCTTAATGGCAAGGTAAATAGCCAGAAGTTCACGTCCGAATGTGCTGTATCGAGTTTGAGCAGGTTGAAGCTTTTTGGAGAAAAAAGACAAAGGTTGAGGGTGGTTGTTGATCAGCTGCTGTAAAACGGCACCAACGGCAGTTTGTGATGCATCAGTTCTGAGAATGAGAGGTGCATCAACATCGGTTTTCATGTGGCTAAGTGCGGTGGCGTTGGATAACGCCTGCTTGATCTTATCGAAAGCCACAATAGCTTCTGCTGTCGGCTCAAACTTTCGGGACTTGCCTTTTAGTAAATCTGTCAGGGGCTGAAGTAGCCGGGAACAATCTGGAATGAAACGATTGTAATAGTTGACCATCCCGAGGAAACGACGCAAATTTTTGAAGGACTGAGGCATTGGGTAATCCGCGATTGCCTGCGTCTTTTCGGGGAGTGGGCGAATACCATTGTGGTCGATTCGGTGACCGAGAAAATCGACACAGGATTGGCCGAAAATACATTTATCAACATTAATCGTCACGCCATACTGAGCAAAACGCTCGAAGATCAGACGGAGATGTGACAGGTGTTCCTCATCGTTCGAACTGGCGACGAGGATGTCGTCGATGTAGGCGAAGACGAAGTCTAGACCCCTTAGGACTTGATCAATGAATCGCTGAAAGGTTTGGGCAGCGTTTCGCAATCCGAAGGGCATACGGACGAATTCATAGAGACCGAAGGGGGTAGTAATGGCGGTCTTTGGAATGTCGTCAGGAGCGACAGGGATGTGATGGTATGCACGAACTAGGTCGATTGTAGAGAAAACAGACTTTCCGTGCAAGTTACTAGAAAAATCATGGATATGGGAAATTGGGTATCTATCGGGAACAGTGACATTGTTGAGCGCACGGTAGTCGCCACATGGTCTCCAATCGCTGGTCTTCTTGGGCACCAAATGAAGCGGAGATGCCCAGCAGCTTTTGGAAGGGCGGATGATCCCGAGGTTAAGCATGTGTTCGAACACTCTCTTGGCCGCTTGTAGTTTGTCCGGTGGAAGGCGTCTTGGCTTGGCAGACACAGGAGGACCGGTTGTGACGATATGGTGACAGATATCGTGCTTGGGCTCTAGAGTGCCGTCATCTGCTCTAAGGAGGGAGGGAAATTGTTGCAGCAGTGATGAGTAGCGTGATTCTTTAGGCAGAAGTACATGAAGCTTAATGGAATTGACCGTAGCGAGCTGTCCGGAAACAGTTAACGATGTAGTACCATCTCGTAGCTTGCCACATCGCAGGTCTACGACCAGGCCGAATTTGGTGAGAAAGTCAATACCAATGATGGGCTTCTGTACATCGGCAATCAGGAAGATGAAGGTGAAATTACGTCGCAAACCAAGATTAAGTGTCAACAGTCTCTGGCCATACGTCGCGATCTTGGTTTGGTTGGCTGCCTGTAAAGTTTTTTTTTTTTTTTTTTTTTTTTTTTTTTTTTTTTTTTTTTTTTTTTTTTTTTTTTTTTTTTTTTTTTCAACCAAAAAATGAAGTTTGGTGGTGGAATCGAAAACGTACAAGAGGCGACTAATGGTTTGGCCAGCAGCAGCTGTCGCCATCACTGGCTGGCGTTGTCGTTTCCCTGCCGAGAATCCAAAAACGTCTTCGGGTATTTACAACCTGGACGACAATTACGAGCAGCATCGCCGAAACGGCGGTGGTAGTAGCAGTATGATCGCGATCGGCTGGTGCGGGATTGACTGCGGCGGCCACTCCTTGAGTTGAATCTACGGTTAGCAGGTCGTTCACGACCGATGTGAGACACAGCGAGTTCTAAGCGCGAGAGTCGTTCACTAATATCCTCAAGTGCGGTACTTCCAGATGGACTAGTGGAGCTCGGTCCAGTCACATTATTCACAGCAGATTTAAAGAAGCGTTCATGGACTTTGTCAGCCGCTTCGGCTAGTTTGTCCAACGGAAGCTCATCAGCGAGGACTGCTAAAATTGCCGTGGTGTTTGTTGGAAGGCACTTAGTCCAGATCTGTCTGCGGATGGAATCGTCCAGGGTCGAGGAACCCACAAGTGAACGCATGTGCCGGAGGAGTTGAGACGGGCTGCGGTCTCCAAGCTCTATGCCAGAAAGCAGCATGTGTAGACGTGCTTCATCGGAAGCCGTAGTGCGTTTTAGAATGGCTGATTTGAGCTTCTCATACGGCGATTCAGTCGGCATCGGATCAAGAATATCGATCACCTCCGAGGCTATCTGTGAAGGAAGATGAGCGGTGACGTATGAAAACATCGATGATTGCGAAGTGATCTTCCGAAATCGGAAGATGGCCTCCACCTGAATAAACCAAACACGAGGGTTTGAAACATCAAAGGTGGGTAACGAAAAGCCAATTGAGTTTTCACACGGTTCACGGGGAGCAGCGTAGTCAGACATAAGGAGAAAAAAAAGAAGAAAAGTAATCAAAAAAATTTAATAGGCGGGGTCACCAAATATAGTGTCTGACAGAGAGTTAGAACCGCTGCGAATAGGACCTTAACACGATTGCTCACGGTCAGGTTACGAAAGGTGAAAAATCAGCAAACCTGTCCGATGACACGAACGGAGGAATAGAACGCTGATCGTAAATAGAGATCCAACAACCGATGCGAAGCACACACAACACTCGAAGGCGGCACAACGTCACCGACACCAGAAGACGAACGAAATTCGAAGAAGAGTATATATCTTGTTGTGAGTTAAAACAAATGTACAAAAATTGACGGAAGATAGAATAGGAAGTTACAAGGAAAAATGTGAAGAATTTATAAACACTACAACGTCAGAATAGCTCCAGTTGACTGGCGAAGAGGAATGTTTAAGGCAGTGATGGTAATCACGCCAGAGCTTTTGTCTTCGGTTGTGGAACGGGGATCCATGTAAATATATAATTTTTTAGGTGAGTAAATTGTTCTGTGAGTACGAGGCAAGCTAAACCCATTTGTTTAGACCCTGTGAAGGTAGAGCCTCCGGAATGAGCTCCGTTTGGACCAGTGTGTGGGTTTTTCATTTCCCGGAGAAAGAACTAAGCGTTTGAGGATGGGTTGGCCAGTCCTAGTGGATAAACCTTCTTGTTTTGGCGGATGTACCTGTGGGAATCTCGGGAAAAACGGGCAACGGACAAGAGGTGGCCAACCAGAGACAGCAATGAATCAAGAAGCACTAACACAGACTGGGGGCGCTCACCGGTGCCTATGATACATTCAAACTTATGTTATTTTGTTTGGTATACATAATTTGCAAGCGCGTTCTATACATTAAGTCGCTGGCGTGACTCAGACTACAGCTAATAAGTGGGAAGAAAGCTGCAAGCGCAGGGTCAAAAGACCGATATAACAAAGCGTTTTAACAAAAGTTAAGCGAATGATGCGATGGTTTTAGAGAGAAAACAGTTGAACGGATGATGATGGCAGTTAGCCAGAATGCGAGAGGCATCTTAGGTGAAACTGAGGACAACCAGGTTGAGACCGAATGCGGGAGCAAGACAGGTAGAGCAACATTCCAAGAGGAAAAGGAATTTCAGGGAATCGGCTAGGAGCGAATGAATGCTGACGGCAATACGAGGAGTAGTTCGTAAGAGTAATTACACTAAAGCGTTCATGATTCTACAGTCCAAATGCCTTCAGAATCTAGGAAAATGGTCACAAGGGGCCAAAACTGCCGTGCATTGGGTGTCGTTATGACACGTACGGTCTCAATAGTATACCAGTTCGAGCATAAGGTAAAGAGCATAGGAATAGGAAGAGTGGTAAGTTGAGCATACTAATGGAAGTACTAGTCAAGCAACACTTAGCAATGGTCCGAGTGCCGCCAATACTCAGGAGCGAGCTCAGAGCGAATGAGATCATACGCACGAGGATGACTTATATAGGCGCAATGAGTGTGAGCTGTGGGAATAAAAGTTGGAGCGCAATAAGAGAAAAGGCCATGGATAATAGGAAATAAAAGCAGGCAGAGAGTGACAGACGGGTCAGGTGAGAGAGGATAACGGCAGGACAGTAAAGCCGGAAGTCCAAGTAAAAAAGAAACGAAAACAGAAAGCGATAGAAAAGGTTAGTGTCTAGATGAGAATGGATCGTTGGTAAAGCGTGGAAAGGCCCACAAGTCTCTCCACGTTGTGTTTACAGGACCAATAGGTCAGCCGAACCAATGGAAGTGACGTCTCAGAAGTCCATATGTATTCATTGAGTATGGGACGGACTAAGAGGCATTGGGTTAATCGGCGATTTGGGACTAGGTCGTACAATGCAGATTAGAAAGAGGCTATAACAATAATGTGGGGTAATAGAGTTAACTCAGCGGAGCCAATACCGTACAAGGCTCGGCAGCATGGGAGCAGTCAGAGATAAACAGACTAGTCCAGTGAGACAGGATCACGGCAGGGCAGTAAGGCTGGCCGTCCGATTAATAAATGGGAATGAAAAGAGAAAGCGAGATAAGAAGAGGTTAGGGTCAGTATGAGAATGGTGTACTGATAAGAAGTGAGGGAGCCCACGAAGCATTCCAGGTGATGTAAGCAAGACGTCGTGTCAGCGGAAACAAGGTTTGTAATGTGGAATAACTCTAAGTAAAAGTGGAAACAAGTGGATGATCTAGCGAGACTAGATCAGTCTCTGTCTCGTTTTACAGAGAATATACTATTTATTTATATATTTATAGATTAGTCGGCGCGTAGGAATAGCACGTAAAATTAAAGGCAGGAAAGGAGGCTGTAACAAAAGGTGAACGACCCTGGCAGCCTCACGTTGTAAGGGATCAAGAGCGTTGAGTCTGTATTGCGTAAACCACTTAAGTCAGAGTAGCATATCAGCAGTCAGAGAGAAAGAAACTGATCGGTGGACTAGATCACCACACCGCCAGTTGAAGAACAATTGGGAACAGAGCGCGATAAAACATAAGTTAGAGACAGGATGAGAATGGTTTATCCACGATGGGTAAGAGAAGCCCAATAGGCTTTCTAGGTAATGTAAAGGGATAGTAGAGTCAGACGAGCAAAGAGAGGCGACGTCTCAGAAGTCTGAATAAATCCGGAGAGCAGGAGGCCGATCGGGTAGGACTGGATTAGTC